TATTAGGACTTGGTCAAATCTATTTTTTTTAATTGGTTGACAAATTTTATTGACTGTTACTGAATAATTCATATTGTTTTGTGTTCGCGTTTATCTAATCTAAAGTTGCATTAATTTAATCCGTTCTTCTCTAAAGATAAAGTAGCAAGCTTATTAATTAATAATTACACTGACTTACAAAATCATTGGAGATTAATTTTTCCAAACACTTTTTTTTGCTCATCAGGATACTTACTTTACTAACTTACTTACTTACTAAAACAAATATGTGTTATTTGTATGATGATTATACTTTGGCAGTGAAAGCATATTTCACTTTTAAAATCAATGAACTAACTTACTAACTAAATAACCAAACCGCACACATTTTAAGAAAACAAAAAACATGCTACACCGATTTCAATGTAGACAGCAGGATATAAAAACACTTCTTGCTAAATAAACAGAAAACAAAATATCAAAATATGTAACTCAAAGCTGAGAGAGAGAGCATATGAATTAAACTAAAAGAGGAAGAGGAAGAGAGAAAACAAACAAGGCAACAATGGAATTTAGTTTTAAGTAGATTCTAATATTGTAATTCATTATTATCAGTCATTTTATACTTTAGACAACTTACCACTGAGTAAGCAATGCTGTCATTAGGAAACCAGTTCTAGATAGGGATGGCAGATCAATAGATGAAGTGCTGAAACTTCATCAGTTGAGATGGTTGGGACATGTGTTATGAATGCCTAACCACCGACTGCCTCGACGAGCTATGTTTTGTGGTGTAGGAGTAGGTTGGAAGAAAGCTAGGGGCGGCCAAACCAAAACATGGCAGAAATCCATGAAGTCACTGACAAGTGGACTGAGTCATGTTGGTAGATGTAGACTACCTGGTTGGGGTCCGCGAGACGATAGTCACCAATGGTTAGAGACCTTGAACGACATGGCTCAAAATCGTTTGCAATGGCGCAAGTGCATCCATTCGTTGTGCTCTCTCAAATCCTAATCTTCTGGATTCGTCAGCACCTCTACATTTGTCTTTCTAACCTTATCTCACTGAATTATACTTCTTGAATAATATCTTCAAACCCTAGTCTTCCTCATTTACCATTAATACCTCTACTATCTTTATCACTATGGGATTTGATTCGACATTCGCGTCTGTGTGCTAATGTGGTATGGCAACATGAACTTATGTACATACGTACGAAGTTCTACGTTACAACTGACTGACTGACTTTAAATAGAAATATAATGTCTAACATCGATATTATGTATATGATACAATGCAATAAGAGAGAAAAGTGGATTGAGACTGATGTAGATAACACTTTAAAAAAACAGGTTATCAAAAACTAATTGAAATGAATACTGTAATTATGAACGAGTCATTGTTAGACTGCCGTTAGAAAGAAACCTGAAAGCAGTGAACAGCCGTTTCGTCTTGGTACAGGACTCATCAACAATGCGTATCCACGACTCCTAATACTCACAGGACTCGAACCCGGAACCTACAGTCTTATGCCCAAACGGCCAACCTCTGGACCAGAAGGTCGCACAATGTTCTCACTAGTGATTAGCTTTTGTGAGGAAATTCTCAGAGTTCTAATGAGACGTGACCAGTAAGGCTCAACTATGTCAAGTCTAGGTTGACCAGAATTCAACATGAACACTGTTGGATGCCAGCTCAGTGGTCTACAGGCTGAGCGTTAACGTGTAAGACAGAACCCGACCGTAGCTGCTAACTTGACGTGGTGGTCAGGCTTGCCTGTGGTCATGACCCAATCGAGCTATATTGGCTGGAACATATGTTCCTGCAGGTCCTACCAAGCCAGGCAGGTCGGTTGGATAACAATGAGACTAAAAGCAGCTACCCAAGGTCTGAGGGCGAAGTCGTACTGCTGACTGCAGAGGGGTGTGACAGCACCAAGGTGTTTCCCTAAGACAACCAGCATCTGCAGAGATGCTGCCTTCTCACAATGAAGGAAGGGTTAGAAAACGTCGACCCTAAGAATGTCACACCTAACCTTACCTCACGGATTTCCGTCTCCGGCCGTAAGGGCTACCCACAAAGGGTTTTTAAGAGCGGAGCTAAAACTCAAAAAACCTTTCATAAAAAGGCCTCAAGCAGTTGTCCCCTAGGTTCTGCGGTCACGCTCTCAGGTCTCTAAGACCAACACTAATCTATCTTCCTTTTCAGGTCCCGGAAGAAACAACCTTCCACGGTGTGGGAAGCCGGGAAAAGACAACCGCCCTCATACCCGTACCAGCACACGAGACCAAACTGGTCAAATCCGTTTGCTGAATAAAGGACGAGTGTACTGTAAGCAGTTTGCTCCGTCCTACTGTACGGATGCGAGACTTGGCCTTCAAGAGTAGAGGACTTACGTAGGTTAGTAGTCTTCGATCGTCGATGTATCCGAAGCATTGCTCGTGTATTATGGGACAACCGTATAAGCAATGCTGTCGTTAGGAAACGAGTTCTAGGTAGGGATGGCAGATCAATAGATGAAGTAGTGAAACTTCATCAGTTGAGGTGGTTGGCACATGTGTTACGAATGCCTAACCACCGACTGCCGCGACGAGCTATGTTTTGCAGTGTAGGAGTAAACTGGAAGAAAGCTAGGGGCGACCAAACCAAAAGATGGCACAAATCCATGAAGTCACTGACATGTGGACTGAATCATGTTGGTAGTTGTAGGCTACGTGGTTGCGCACTGCCACTGATGAGTCCCATACCGGGACGAAACGACTGTATAGTGCTTTTAGGTTTCTTCTATCAATGATTCATTCGTGATTTCAGTAATTAAACAACAATCTCCATCACTCTCTATATTAAAAGGTAATTGAAATTATTAAACCTTGTAATGTGTGTGTGTGCGTATTTTTTTTATTCTCTGCTTTTTTGTTTTAAATTAATTAATAAAGCAGATTAATCACATTCATTATGAGGTGACGACGACATGATAGATAAAAGTTGAGTTGGCTTTTTCTTTTTATGGTATAAAACTTTATTCATTGACAATCATGACAATGATTATAATCGATAAGTATTAATTATGCTGACATTTTCTCGATTTACAATTTTATATATATAGTTTGGATATATATATCTATATGTCATGTTGATTAAACCAATGAGTGATAAATGAAATAAACTGACTGATGTTACGGAATAGTTTGGAAGGAAGCTAGGAATGCCCAAAAGCCAAAATCTGATACATAGGAGGGTGTTCACATGAAGTCATTCATTGCCTATTGAACTAAGTCGAGTTGGTTAGCGCACACAACATCATGATTAGAGTGTATGGGATGATGATTATGATCAGTAGTAGTTGAAAATGTTAAATGAGATGGCTTGGGATCGATAGCAATTACACAGATGTATTAACTGTTTATCTTTGTCAAGATCTTGATTCCTAGTATTTCCTTAATAATTCAAACTTTTCAATACTTAGTCAGTCAGTAACGACGCAAAACTTCGTACGTACGTACATCAGTTTGACTTGCTATACCACATTAGCACAAAGAGAGGGAATCGTCAATTTAAATCCCATTGTAGATATAGTAGAAAAGTATTAGCAGTCATCGGAGAGACTAGGGTTTGAAGAAATCACTATTGTCTCGTGGACACCAACCAAGTAGTCTACACTTACCAACATAGCTCAGAGTGTAGTTGTCAATGACTTCATGGATTTGTGGCATATTCTGATTTGGACGCCACTAGCTTTCTTCCGGCCTACCTTTATACCACAAAATGTCGCCCGTCGAGATAGTCGGTAGTTGGGCATAAGTAAAATGTGTCCCAACCACGCCAACTGATGAACATTCACTACTTCATTAATTGATTTGCCATTCTTACATAGTACCCTGTTCTTAACACTAACATTGCTCATTCGATTGTCCCAGAATGTACGAGCAATGCTTTGAAGACACTTATGATTGAATACTAGTAACCTACGAATATCTTCTACTCTTAGTGGTCATATTTCACACCTGTGAAGTAGGACGGAGCAAACGGCTGTATAGCCGGATATCTCGCCTACACCATAAGCGAGGCAGGTTGGCGATACCCAGTCCAGCCCTCTGTATCCATGCTGAGATTTCATCACACATCAATCAGGTCATCAAGATTGATGAGACTCCCAAAACAAGTGAAGCGGTTAAAACGTTCAACTACTTCACTCCCTATCAGTAGTTCAGGTGCCGATGCAAGCAAATCCTGAAACAATATTTTGCATTTCGAGATGGAGAATCTCTTTTTAATCCTTAGTCTTTTTCATGAATATTGTGTCAGCTGCATAATTTCAACTCCTTTGCTATTTTCATGTGGTTGTGCCTGTGTAATCAGTCAGTCAGTCAGTCAGATAAAACGTAGAACTTCGTACGTAAGTACATCAGTTCAAGTTGCCATACCACATCAGCACATAGATATAATTGTCAATTCAAATCCGATAGTAGAAGAGATAGTAAAGGTATGAGAAGTAATCGGAGAGGTTAGAATTAGAAGATATTATTCAAGTATGATTCAGTGAGAAAAGTTAAGAAAGACAAAACTAGAGGTGTTGAAGAATCCAGAAGATTAGGATTTGAGAGAGCTCAAAGAATGAATGCACTTGCGCCATTGCAAACGATTTTGAACCATGTCGTTCAAGGTCTCTAACCATTGGTGACTTTCGTCTCGCGGACTCCAACCAGATAGTCTACATCTACCAACATGACTCAGTCCACTTGTCAGTGACTTCATCTATGTCTACCATGTTTTGATCTGGCCGCCCCTAGCTTTCTTCCAACCTACTCCTACACCACAAAACATAGCTCTTCGAGGCAGTCGGTGGTTAGGCATACGCAGCACATGTCCCAACCACCTCAACTGATGAAATTTCACCACTTCATCTATTGATCTGCCATCGTTACCTAGTACTCGATAATAATAATAATAATGATAATAATAATAATAATAATAACAATAATAATGATAATAATAATAATAATAATATGATTCAACTTACTTTATTACATACTCGTGCAATCGCTGACAAACCAATATCTGTGATCGCTGAACACCGTGCAACTTCCAACGTTGTCAAACTAACACATCCAACAGGTATTAATGCTGTCGTCTTATTGGAATCATTTGATTTTTGACGACGATTATTAGTATTAGTATTAGTAGTAGTATTAGTAGTGGTAATATTATTATTTACAGTGGAATCATGATCTGCATGATTGTTATTATTAGTAGTATCGTTTGGTGATGAAGAAGCAGCATTATCATGATGATGACTACTAACATTTCCATTACTTGTTACTACAAATGGAACAATTAAAGGCATGCCATTTTGTTGACTGGTCGATGTCGGCTGGCCGACAATAGCTGCAGCTGCAGCCGACGACAATGTGCCGGCGATTGCACGTAGACCTTGATCTGTGATAGAACAATGTGAGATAGCTAGAACACGTAGATCAGGACAACCAATGGATAGATGGACCATTGCTTCATCGGTGATACCCTGAAGTAGTAGAAGTTGAAGTAAAAAAAATAGCAATCATACATTAAAAGGCATTCATGGTATGATAGCAAGTTTACAGTTTGAATCGAATATATACTAATCATTGAAAATATGGTATTGCTGAAAGGTAATTGTCCTAGAAATAACCTTATCCACGTCTGAATTTTCAGAAGTAGACCTTTTACCTTCTGGCTCGCTTATTGACTTAGAATATGCCGATGACATTGTCCTATTTGGTGAAGACGCTGACAAAATGCAGAGTCTTCTGACTACCATAAGAAACAATGCAAGCATGTTCGGGATGCGGTCCCCCCACCCGAAATGCGAAATGTTGCTTCAGGATTGGATTTCGTCGGCACCTGAACTGTTGATAGGGAGTGAAGTAGTCGAGCGTGAGATCGCTTCACGTATCTGGTGAGCCTCATCAGTGCTGATGGCGTGTTGTGTGACGAAATCTCAGCACGCATACAGAAGGCTCGGTTTGCTTTTGCCAACCTGCATCACCTATGGTGCAGGCGAGATATCCGCTCGCTGACTAAAGGACGAGTGTATTGTGCAGTGGTTCGCTCCGTCTTACTTTATTGATGTGAAACACGGACAGTGAGAGTAGAAGATGTTCGTAGGTTATTAGTTTTCGATCATAGGTGTCTTCGAAGCATTGCTCGTATATCGTGGGACACCCGAGTGAGCAACACTGTTATTAGGAAACGGGTACTAGGTAAGAATGGCAGATCAATCGATGAAGTGGTGAAACTTCATCAGTTGAGGTGGTTGGGACATGTGTTGCGTATGCCTAACCACCGACCGTCTCATCGAGCTAATGTCTTGCGATGTAGTAATAAGTTGGACGAAAGCTAGGGGCGGCCAGACGAAAACACTGCACAAATCCATGAATTCATTGACGAGTGGACTTAGCCATGTCGGTAATTGTCGACTACCTGGTTGGGATCCGTGAGATGATAATAATCGATGGTTAGAGACCTTGAATGACATGGCTCAAAATCGTTCGCAATGGCGCCAGTGAATTTATTCTCTGTGTTCTCTCAAATCCTAATCTTTTGGATTCGTCTACACCTCTAGTTTTAACTTTCTAAACTTTTCTCATTGAATCATACTTCGTGAATAATATCTTCTAATTCTAACCTCTTCGATTAATTCTAATACCTTTACTACCTCTGTTACTATTTGATTTGAATTGACAATTACATCTCTGTGCTGATGTGGTGTTATGGCAACGTGAACTGATGTACTTACGTACGAAGTTCTGACTGACTGAATGCTGAAAGAGTAAAGTCAATAAAGAATGATCAGATTTCTGGCTCTGAATAACCACAATAAAAGAATTCAGATCTTTATTGATAATAATACATAGATTATACTCCTAGAACTAGTTAATGTCTATCTGAACTCAATCACTCAGTGTTTTTTGTTGGCGTATGAAGTGAAAGTTACTAGTTGGTTTGAGTACGAATTTAAACATCAACGCTGTGACTCAGATATGTTCATCTGACGAGTCCAAAAGAAAATGAAACCTTCATTTTGAGTCAGTCAGTCGGACAGCGACAGCGTAGAACTTCGTATCTACATACATCAGTTCAAGTTGTCAGACTACATTAACACAGAGACGCAAATTGTCAGTTCAAATCCTGCAGCGGTAGATGTAATAGAAGTATTAGCGCTAATGGAGAAGATTAGGGTTCGAAGATATGATTCGAGAAGTAGAATTCAGTGAGATAAATTTAGAGAGATAAAGACAGAGGTGATGAGGAATTCCGAAGATTGGAATTTGTGGAAGACAAAGAATGGATGCACCAGCTCCGCTGCAAACGATTTTGAGCTATTTAGTTCGAAGTCTCTAACCAATTGGAAAAGCTTAGAGTGACTCACTCCCTATCATGAGAGACTGATTCGACATTGTTTTGTTTACTATCTAGGCAGGTGATTCCCAACTATTAAGGAACTGACAATCAGACAAATAACAGTTTAACAAATCAATACCTTTGTTAGTTACAGAATAATCGTTTCGACTTCTTCCAAATTTAATTTTTTATACGTTTTGGAATGAGAGCAATTTTTTAGATTACTTACAAATTACGATAAAGAGAAAATACAAATCTGACTCAGTCAGTCAGATGCAACGTAGAACTTCGTACGTAAGTACATCAGTTCATGTTGCCATACCACATTAGCACACAGATGTAATTGTCAATTCAAATCCAATAGTAGAAGAGGTAGTAAAAGTATTAGAAGTAATCGGAGAGATTAGGATTAGAAGATATTATTCAAGAAGTATGATTTAGTGAGATAAGTTTAGAAAGACAAAACTAGAGGTGTTGAGGAATCCAGAAGATTAGGATTTGAGAGAACACAAAGAATAAATGCACCGGCGCCATTGCAAACGGTTTCGAGCCATGTCATTCAGGGTCTCTAACCATCGATTACTATCATCTCGAGGACCCCAACCAGGTAGTCGACAACTATCGACATGATTCAGTCCACTTGTCAATGACTTCATGGATTTCTGCCATGTTTTGGTTTGGCCGCCCCTAGCTTTCTTCCAACCTACTCCTACACTAAAAAACAAAGCTCGTCGAGGCAGTCGGTGGTTAGGCATACGCAACACATGTCCCAACCACCTCAACTGACCAAGTTTTATTACTTCATCTATTGATCTGCCATCCTTACCTGGCACCCGATTCCTAATAAATCTGACTAGTAAAATTGATTGATATTCACGAAAAATATCCCGCTTTTTTAATCAGCCAATGATACTACTTGTTTGTCCACAATCTAATATAAAGGGTAGAATTCGAATATGTGACCTAAAAAATTGAGAGAACCCAACAATTAACAAAATTTTTATTCTGAGAATTACAGTAGTCATAACTACATCAGCCAGTCAGTCAGTCAATTACAACATAGAATTTGGTACGTACGTACATTAGAAGTACTGTGGTGCGAGCTACTTATAAGCAGTATATGACGTGAGTGTCAACGTAATGTCTGGCAGCAGAAGATGGGGGAAGATCAAGAGAAAGGAAGAAGAGTTAGAACACAATGGAATTAATTTGTATGAAACGCATGCATAGTAGTGACAATGGATTGATGTTTTGCAACAGGAACAGTCCAATTCGATATGATGAACTGATATTTTGCAAATTAACGATTTACGATATGGTTTTCCGATTTTACTGAGTAACTCTGTAATTTGCGTTAAATACAATCCGGTTAGGGTGATGAAGATCCAGAGGATTAGAATTTGAGAGAAGCGATATGGATAGATAACGTGTATTGTGATACACGTTGTTACCTTTTTGAACAGTACAAAGAGTAAATCAACAAAATAAGATCAACATTCGGGTTGTGATTCATTGAGTCAGTTACAACTTAAAACTTTGTACGTACGTAGATCAGTTCAAGTTGACATACCACATTAGCATACACAGAGATGTAATTGTCAATTTAATTCCCATAGTAGTAGAGGAAGTAGAAGTATTAGCAGTAATCAAAAAGATTACCGATTGAATATATGAGTCAAGATGTGTAACCCAAAGGAATCAGTTAAAAAAATAGAAAAAACGGTCATGAGGAATTCAGAAGAGTAGGATTTGAGAGAACATAAAGAATAAATGCACCGGCGCCATTGCAAACGGTTTTGAGCCATGACGTTCAAACTTCCTAAACGTCGATTACTATAACCTCACGAACCCCAACCAGGTATTCTACACTTACTAACATGGCTTAGTCCAGTTGTTAGTGACTTTATGGATTTGTGCCATGTTTTGGTTTGGCCGTCCCCTACCTTTCTTCCAACCTACTCCTACACCACAAAATATTGCTCGACGAGGCCAGTCGGTGATTGGGCATTCGTAACACAATTACATACATTTCAATCATAACACATACAAAGGTTAAAGGATACACACACATACCTGTCCACAATAATTCAAGTTTAACAGTAATAAACCATGACAATGACGTGCTAGTTGTTCCACACCACGACTTGTTATCTCTTGACAGCCAATAGCACGAAATCGTTGTAAATTTTTACATCCTCTTGCGATAGCAGTTAATCCACGATCACCAACACGACACCATGATACATCTAAACATGTTAGATTTGAACACCAGCTACGGGTGAGAGAGAAATTGAAATTGTGAAATAATTTGGGATAGAATTCGAACAAATTTAGAAGACCATATTTTCAAATGATTAAAATGTATCAAGATGTTAGAGCCTAAATACGAATTTAAGCGAAATCTAATTGTGTTCTATAATATAGCTTCAACACATTTTGAGATGGCCACAGTCAATAGGCCAATAATAAAATAACAAAACCCGAAAACTGCATTTGAATGATCCAATGAAACACTTCCGACTTAAGCTTGAAATAGGAATTCATTGTATCAGTAGTTCTGGGTGTAACCAAATATAAACAGTATCATAACTTAGTGTTGCACAGCTGTTACGATATTCACCAAATATCCTAAGAGTACTACTATTTTTGGAAGTATAATCCTATTGGTCGATTTCTATTGGTCAAAATTATGGTCGTTTTAACTGTCCAAGTCAAATACTGCAATGTTGTCTCTTATTGGTCATCCGGACTGTCAATGTCATTTCAAGTGTCCTTTCCTATTGGTCGTCCTAAACTGCCAATGTCACAGACTTTGATGCTCTTTCTCATTCGACCTTAATGTATAAAAATACGCACTATTTGTAAGACTTCAGGATTCTGATTCCAATTCCGTCTACCTCTCTTCTGTTCTCGACCCAATAAACAACTCCATCCAACGGTGTTGCGTTCTGATATATAGGAGATTCGGAAATAACATTTTGGTTCGTATCGGGATATTTGAATTGGACAGCAGCATTATAACAACAGCTAACTGATGAGAAAGTGAAACTGGATGCTTTTTTCACTAAGTTTTGTTAATGGCTTGAAGAAAATTAAACATTATTAAGAATGTGACATATCCACCAACCGGGAGACGATTATATAGAAACACCTACTTAATAATCAGAGGAGTACTAAACCTAGAAAGATATAATACAGTTAGGCCGTGCGTGACCGGCCTCAAGCAGTTGTCCCTTGGACTCTGCGGTCACGCACCAACACTAATCTATCTTCCTTTTCAGGGTCCTCAAGAAACAACCTTCCACGGTGTGGGCAGCCGGGAAGTGACAACCGCCCTCATACCGATAACAGTTAGGCGGCAGCTCTGGATATCTATAATTTCCAATTTAATGATTTTATAGTAGACTTATTCTAGGGTCAAATAACATTATAGCAGAGACAAATTTATCGGAGGTTACTGGTAATAAGATACCAGTACCACTACGTACAGTAGTAATGGAATTATAAATAAGATAGCAACAATAAGTGTATTTTAAAGTCAAATGAACAAACAGAGGATATTCAACGTAGAGATGTGCATTAGTTCATAATAGTATATGTTGCAATAAAATAGTAAGTCGGGATTTGATTGTGACTAGTTTGGTATCGTGAGCTGTTACAGGTATGAGGGCGCATGTCACTTCCCGGTTGCCCATACTGTGGAAGGGTTTCTTGAGGAACCTGTAAAAGAAAATGGATTAGTTTAGGTCTTAGCTACCGCGGAGCGTGACGGCAAAGCCCAAGGGACAACTGCTTGAGGCCGATCACGTACGGCCTTTTTATGGCAAGTCTGTAAAGTGTTAGCTCCATTCTTCAGAGGGCCTTACCGCCGGAAACGATAATCCGTGAGGTAAGGCGAAGTGTGAAATCTTTAGAGTCGATCTTTTCTAACCCCGTCCTTCCTTGTGAGAAGGCAGAAACTCTGCAGATACCGACTATCCGAGGGAAACACCTTACTGTTGTCACACCTCTCTACAGTCAGCAGTACGACTTCAACCTGAGACCTTAAGTTGTTGCTTTTAGTCTCACCGTTCTCCAATCGATTTGACTGGAACATACATTCCAGCCAGCATAGCTCGGTTGGTTCACTACGAGAGGGAAGCCCAACCACCACGTCAAGTTAGCGGCTACGGTCGGGAATAATATAGTAAAGATATTAAAATGATCGGGAGGAGGGTAGGCATGACGAAACAAGCAAGAATTTCAACAGTTACGGAATACTATGCGTAGATAAAATTTTTATTTATTTTATTTAAGCACAAAACATTAGTACAAAGGGGCACCAAAATATATATGGGCCAAACAGATTAATAAATATGTTTATGAGCTAGGATCCCGACCGTAGCTGCTACCTTGACGTGGTGGTCGGGCTTGCCTATCGTCATGACCCAGCCGAGCTATATTGGCTGGAACTCATGTTCCTGAAGGTTCTACCATGCCAGGCAGGTCGATTGGAGAACGATGAGACTAAAAGCAGCTACTCAAGGTCTGAGGGCGAAGTCGTACTGCTGACTGCAGAGGGGTGTGACAGCAGTAAGGTGTTTCCCACGGACAACCAGCATCTGCAGCGATGCTACCTTCTCACAAGGAAGGAAGGGAGGGTTAGAAAATGTCGACCCTAAAAATCTCACACCTCACCCTACCTCACGGATTTCCGTCTCCCGTGGTAAGGGTGCCCACCAAGGGCTTTTAAGAGCGGAGCTAATACTCAAAAAACCTTTCATAAAGAGGCCGTGAGTGACCGACCTCAAGCAGTTGTCCCTTGGGCTCTGCGGTCGCGCTGCCAGGTTTCCAAGACCAACACTAATCTACTTTCTTTTTCAGGTCCCTCAAGAAACAACCTTCCACGGTGTGGGCAGCCGGGAAGCGACAACCGCCCTCATACCCGTAACAGCACACGAGATCCAATTGGTCGAAATCAAGTCCTTCCTTATGAGCTAGGATAATGTCCGGGCGCCTAAACCGAAGCAGGTGGTTATTTAGGAGGGCCACTCATTGAGTCTCTGAACCAATGGTCTAATCCATAAGAGCAATTGAACAACGTTAATAGATGCAGTCCTGTGGCATCCATTAACTAACAATAGGTAGGTTCATATACCATTTGTTTATCCAGGGTCCTGGAGTCCACGTGCACCACCGGTATGGAATCAGGGTTTTTATAACTCCTTTAGGTGGATTCTCTGTATCCATTAATTCATCTTAAATGCTCGATATCTGCCTTTCGTAACTCTAATTTCGTAAACAACTCCCCTGCTACAAGAATGCAGAGTCGGACCTCTCTGGTCGCAGCTAATACACGTGGCTATATGAGAGTATTTCGAGAGGAAAAGCGGACCTTCCTCACTGTCAACCACACTAGAGCAACTGTAACTGATGCTAAGCCATATTAATGCTCAATCATTTCCCAACCTAGCATCAGATATCGGTAGGCGGTTTCAGCAAGCTTAGCCTCTCCAGATAGCTTGAGCCCGGATAATATTACGCGAAACCAGAAATATTGGTTTAATATGACTGAGTAATAATAAATATATTTTTCCCCCTTGAAATACATCGTATACTTATTGATACAAAACTATTACTGGTGAATAATATTAACAGATTTCAAAATTGCTTCAACCATCAAACAATCAGAATAGGAAAAATGTTAACCTAACGTGGCAAATGATAAATCAAACTTGTTACTGTGAAGTTTGATGTATTAAGGTCTTAGTTACATCTACAGGCAGCAAAAATGACTATCCAAGTGAACGGAGAGAAACAGTTAAAAGGAATCGCGGATGTTTAACCAAACGCCTGGTAAAATAACAAGTGGTGGGATGACGAGAGTTATCAGTAAGCGGTTTATTGAGTGAAAAATGTAACCTGACTTAGTGAGATCAAACCCAATAGGGTTTTATATAAACTATATAAAGAAATAATAAATGCAAGACGGGAACATATTTGATGAATACTGGAAAAATTAAAAATATACTTACCTAAGCATTTCTAATCCAGAATCATCTATACGAGAACAACTTTCGAGAGATAAGGTTTTGAGAAGAGAACAATTTTTCCCCAAATAGTCGCAGGTCCCATTTGTTAAGTTTTGACAACCTGATAAATCTAAACTTTCAATCATGTGACAAAGTTCAGTAAAACATCTGTAACAGAAAGACAAGCACATTAGTCAGTATATGGTGATAGGTGAAAAAAAATCTGTTGGGAAAATGGAGTAGCTGGATTTTTTCGACAGCTTCAATAGGCGTGTACAAACTTTTAATAATATAGGAGAAGTGAAACTAGTCTTAGCGATCTGTGAGACTATTATAATCAACCACAAAGATGACTAACGCAAAGCTTACTCGAAACTATAGTCTAGTAGAAAATCATTTAGAAAAGTTAACATGCTGGGTAAGGACGAGTAGACTGTCGCTATTCCGCTTCGATACTTCAAGAGAAGAGTTGGTTAAGGATCGGACGAAAAATATTCCGTTTTTATATAGGAAGTCATGGGATATTTTACAGGGCATATCGAAAATTTGTAATCGAAACAAGATAAAATAAATTCATCATATTAGAAACGGGTAGCTGGTTTTCAGCATAACTGTTATATGTTATCCCATATCACGCCATTTTTATCAGATTTTGGGGAAGGTTGTCCAACATATGTTAGTAAACGCTAGCAACAGTAATCTATCAACAGAAATTGAGAAAAAAGTTGGGTGAAACACTGTGAAACCAAGAGCAATAAGTTGTCGAAATTCTAAATGTATTTTGCATCACTTTTATGTTAATTGGACGAAGTTACAGTAAGTTATCGATAAATGAGTAACACATTATTTTACTCCTATTGATATATAGAATCAAGTGTTATCGCGTCTAACAACGGTATGGAAAAAGTTGAAAAATGGTAGAAAAGCACCTATTTCTTTCATGTAAATAAGCTTTTTGGAAAAAAAATGCCAAACGAACTAATTTAAGATGCAATGCACATGACATATTCCAGGTGAATGTCAATCCTTCGAATAACCGGTTTAGCATTTTCAAAGTAAAACTTGTCAAACTTTATACATATTACAAATGCAAAGATCACAAAAAGTAGATTTTTTTGCTAGAATCAAAAGACTTACTTTAGAGCTTCATCAGTAACATTTCGACAACCTTTCAGCCTTAACTCACGGAGAAAGCCTCTACTCCTCTGAGCAATTTTTTCGACTACTTTTGGCTATTTATGATGATTTAGTTGGATGACAACAAATTACCTGCACATATCTTTGGAAGTCAAATAAATTAATACTTTTCCAGTTGCTTCCATCGAAAGCACATTCATACCAGAACTATCAGGTAATTAGCGGGATGTAGGTTACTTACTTTACAAACTTGAGAACACTTGCATAAGGTAGTGATATCTAAGTAAGAAAAAACCCTGATTTAACATTCAGAAAGTTGTAAAATTATACTCACCTGATGATTAACTCTTTCGGTAGACTTTCGTTGATACAGACATCGCTTTTATGATGTGGATTAATCTTGGAGACAGTGATTCATATGGACAGACTTACCTTTCCATTAGCCACGACCGAACCATTGGTATTAAGATAATTAGGAAAGTTTTCCATTTTAGATAAGCAGAATATCTACCAAACCACATAAAGTGGGGACCTCATTATGAAACTTTGTCAGAAGATGTTTATAAGATAAACAACTGCATATCAGTCAGATTATTACTAGTCCCGAAAACAAACGGAATATCATCCTTCGAACCGATCAGCTGACTAAATTCTTTGAAAACCAAACAAAGAGTACGGTAAAACAGACAAAGTTCAATGACAAACTGTCTTAAAATATACCTCCAAATCAGTCTTCCTGTGTACAAAGAAGTAAAAATATCCTTATTTTACTACTTTAGAGCTACATATAGCTGCAGAAGATAATTTTCTCCTGGATGTTTGAATATCAGTTACCAATATAATGTTCAGTCGTTAATAGGTCCCAATACGGTCTGAAAGTATTTTGTTGTGTAGGCAGTGATTTGCTACTTATTCGGAGAGAAACTATATTGCAGAAATTAGTCCGGAATCTCAATAAACAGATAAGAACTGCTGACATTTAAGTTTGAGATCAGTCACACATCCGTAGCCTTCAGAACGAAACGTCCGAGTTTAGTCTCTTAGTGACAAGATTGAGACGTCAAACAACACGGCTTATGGCTGGTATGGATCCTGTTCAGGTTTCTGTAAGAACTTCAAGTTTTATTAGCTTTGGGTGCAGGGATTAGTTTCGTAAGTCGAATATAGTGTATCGGAAGCACAGACAAGAGGTTCATGTGGAGTTTGAAGTGGTAAATATTTAAGCTACAGCTGTTGTCATATATCTTAATCCTAAATGGTTGTTTTAGTGCAACTAATAGATATCTGACTGTTGGGAATTACAGCTGGAACGTATTCATTGGAAAGAAAGCCTTCACAAAGCAATTACACTTTCACCATAAGAGGATGATTAGACGGAATGACAGAATCGGAACGTTATCGATAAATTTGTAGAAAAACATGTTAGCTGATCGATATTTGACCACAGATTTTTTTGTATCCTCAGGTACGGCATTGCATGCACCACCCAAATCACACTTAGCGGAGAGGTTTGGAAAGATGTACTAACCTTTACATACCTGGGCAGTTTACCGATCCTCATCAAGGTCAAGGAATGTCAACACTAGTGAACCGACAGCATCCCACGTACAGGCGCATGTAGTGATGCGTTTTACTTCTGTTCACTGGTAATACTGGTACATGCTGCTGCATATTGAGAGAATTTATTCTGGCCACTCACCTAGTTATCTTAATGGTGCGACTCAGGAAAAGTAGTGACGGTGAGAAATGATCCTGACGTCAGCCAAGATGTTATCAGCTTCGTGAAACTACGGTGGGCCTGTGATCATCGGCATAGATCACCTACATTGGTGATCTACACGTGAATTCAAATATGGCTAACCCCTTTCCGCCATTCAAGTCGTTCAGGCACATACTTATGACTACAGAGCATAGTTTGGTGCACAAACGACATACGAACAGAATCGACTGTCGTGGTGTTGATTAATTATTTCGCCGAATCCCCTTATTGACAGTGATTACTGATCATGGCACATCACTTCAATTAGTCTTGTCCCATAAGCCCTCTGAACTCCTAGGAATGTATCACATGAAGAAAATAGCCTGTTAACCAGGAGCTAATGGCTTAAAGAGAGGTTTCATTGCCAGCGGAAAAGCTTGCCCTTGTCATAGGACAGTATAACTTAATGGACTGACGCCATATAACTTATCCTTATTCAGATGGGATCGACCAACAAATAATATATTGACTGTACAGCAGGGGAATTAGTGTAAGGTACCAAACTTATCCTACCTGGTACTAAGTCAGATGCAATGATCAAGTGCAAATGAGCCTGACAAGCCAAGCAGAAGCACAAACGGTCATTCTACATGTACATATTCACCAGTGACAACTAAGCCAACATTAATCCACTCATCAGACCATTTTTTCTCACAAGAATGTAGCTAGAAAACAACTAAAACCACCATGTGAAAGACTTTATTGCGAAACAGAAGGAACAAAAAAAGACTTCATAGTTGACTAAAGTGTACAAAAAAATCTGCATCTACATTCATATCGAAACCCTCCTTCTCAGACAACTTGTGAGAACATGGAAACACTCCCGGCCCTATAGAAGATGGTAAACGATGTCAATCAACCGTTGACCTTCATGCTCAGCTCACTGAGTAATTAGCAGACCCGACTATTTCGCTCATTTTTCAGTCACTTCTTATTTAAACGGTTGTGGTGAGTGTTGAGCTTTAAATGAATCCTGAATCAATCAATATTAGACCACCGTTAGAAACCTGGAAGCACTGGAGTGGCGTTTTGTCCCAGAGTTGAACTCAGCAGTAGTGCTTATCAAACCCAGGGCCTTCGATCTCGCGCACGAACGCTCTATCTCCAGACCACTGAGTGGGCATTCGACTGTGTTAATGCCTTACAGATCATTCTATGGTCTTTCTCAACCTCATAAGTTGTCTTCAGTAGGAAGTTCATCACACAGATTGTCGAACCCCATTGATAACAGCTTCTCACTTAGAATTATAGAAACTTCCTTTTAGAGATAGTCACCACTAAACGCGTGATAATTCTCATTAAATGATGCGCGCTGGTTGTAAGATCCATTTTGAAGAACTTATTTGTGAAAATCCCTCCATGTAAAAATTTGTGATATGTCCTTAATGATTCCTTCAGTTCAGCATTTTGCTTATCTGTTCGATTCCATTTTTGAGATGATAATATTTGTATTTTATAATAGTTTCTATTTTTTGTGCCTTTAATGAGTTTCTGTTTCTGTCTGAACTGCATTATTTTGTTTAAGCTGACACTTAGTCATGGCGACAGCTATATGGATTTGTTCCCATTTTGATCCGATTGGTTGCACTGACTCGAATCGTGTATTTCGATTGTGAATTGGAGCACTCTTCCAGGATTGGAATTACTCTGTGTTATATAGCAACCAAGTATTATCTGTCGAACGAATCTGATCAACTGGGCAAGAAGCGTATCTAAAATTCCTTGAGAGTTATTCTTCAGTCCAAATCTTATATATACACTTATATACGGAATTATAAATATTTCGACTGTTTGCAAGCTTTTGACTGTTATTCCCTTAATCAGTTTCGTAGTGTATTTGACACAATAGTCTGACCATAAAACTTGTCAGCTGCTGCAATTAATGTTCAGCAATATGCTAATCATCAACTTTTCTCGTTATACCCAGCGACACATAAACTCCCCACATGCTATTAGGACACAAGTTATATATGTACTCACAAAGTTCTTCAAGAAGCAACATTTGGTTAGTTTTTATTAATTTTCTCTCCCACACTCGTTCGTACTAGTATTCTATTAGATGTTCACCTTCTCATTTTTCTACATTATCTGTAAAATTACTGTTACTGACAGCAAATTGTTTTGGGAGGTGAAAATGAATCATTCGGCACAGGGTCTGCATACCACAAAGACCACCGTAAACAAAATATAATAGTTCGTATATCACATCGCGTTCTCTCTCATTTTCTGTGACTTCAACAGACATCTGATTCACCTATTACACACATCCATTCGGAAAACCCACTGTGCGTAGATTGTCTGTTAACTCACACGAAGCTCATACGAACAAACGGGATGAGGACGCTCATGAGTTTCAAATTGCAAGCATCTACTGATTATAGACGAACGCTGCAATTTTACCGAAGGAAATGGCTGATATGAATGGACTAAGCAACACTATTAATGCATACATGATAGAAATATCTGAAGCGTAAACAGCAGATCACGGACCAAGGGCTGAAAAAAAAGGCTAGAAAAAATTGAGTACCAAGCGGGGTTGCTTATACTTACTGTCCCATCTAGTAACACATTAGGTGTACATTTATGAGTCTGTCGATCTTGATCAATCTATTTTTGTCAAGTGATGCTAGTTACCATTTTTGGATGTTCATTTGGATTAGTAATGGTCCTACAACCTACTGCTGATATGGAGTACGAAAATCGTACACTCAAGAGATTTTCCTGCTTTACTAGCCTCAGATACACTTGTTAATTAATAATTTACTCTTGCAGTCCACTTTTAACTCGAATAGTGTAGGTTCAGACGCGTCCCGCCCAGTCCAATTCCAACAACGATAATTCTGGGAGAGAACGTTTCTATTTTTAATCAAAAAGGGAAATACAGACAATTACCAAAACAATATTACAACTTCGAGTTTCCAGTTACCACAGTAGGTTCCGTTGCTGGAAGAATAAGTGCTTCCAGTCCTTTACTGCTAGAGTATCAAATCCAAAAAAATGGCTGTAGCCATATTAAGTACCAAATTTAAACAACATATGTATGGTTCAGAAGGAAACATAAAAACTTCAATATAAGTACAAGATATCGAAATAATAACAAAATACAAATGATAAAATCTCAAAATGGAATCAAATAGAGTACCAAAATATCAACAGAAAGAGTCAGTCATTTCATAACACAAATATATATATATATAAATATATAAGGAGGGATTTTTCAAAAACAAAGCTTTCAAATAGATTCTACACCGGCCCGCAAAATCCCTCCATGCAAAACAAGCCCTTCTGATACTTCATTTTAGGGTTCACTCTCATCCCCTAATCCACACTGGAAGAACGAGTAGGACTTACAGCAGTATGCCTATCCGCCCTCCAACATGGATATCACCTATCAAACTAACTGTGTACCTGAACCTTCCCATCAGGTTCTTGATTCCCCTATCTATCGTAGCATGACCTAACGGTAGTATAAACTTCATCCAATTAACCCATATGAATATGTATAACACGTCGTAGTGCTGGTCATATCCTATTCGGGATTTACTTTCCACATCATGGGGATGAGTCGTCAATCCACCACCACTTGCTCCGAACAGCAGATACGATGAAGTCAGTGATGCTGACTTATCAACAGAAGTTCCTGACCCATAGATAATATGCAAGGGTGGGATCTCCAATTTTGATATTTCCTCGTTTCCTGAAGACTCTAAGTGGCATGACATAGGAACAATATTTAACTCTCCATCTCCTGATACAGCATTCGTCATCGTCGGCAACTCATTTGCCACATCAGTGGCATCTAGATTATTACCATCGTCATCATGATTCCGTTCTGTCAGACAAGTAGCGTCGTTTCTGGCTACACTAGCATCCGTAGAGTGAAACTCTTCCTTTGTTGTATAGCTCATCTCGCTATATGAAAGAACAGAATT